GGCTGTCTTGCTTACACAATCCCTCCAGGACATAAGAACAAACTCGATCCTCGTTCAACCAAAACCATAATGGTAGGATACGAGAAACACTCCAACGCCTATCGCCTCTGGGATCCGAAATCAAACAGAATCATGATATCCAACGATGTTGTGTTTGACGAAACATCCTTTCCGCTCCGCACTCTCGACCCATCTTCAACTGAAGAGCTGACTATACTCAATGATTCATCTTGGGATGAAGTCTGGGATTCTCATCCACCAATCTCAACCGATTCTCAGCCTACATCCAACCAACTCCCTCCTCCCCGAAGATCTCAGCGACAAACCCAACCTGTCGAACGTCTTGGTGACCTAGTAGGTCATCACACTGTTGCTGAACTCAACATTTGCTATCACACCCAGATTGACGACGGTCAGGACAACGATGAACCATCATACACCCAAGCAATGAAAGGCCCAAACCGTGAGGACTGGATGGCTGCAATGTCTGATGAATTCATTTCCCTCCAACTGCATGCGGTTGGTCAACTAGTTGAAGCACCTCCTGATGCGAACATCCTACCAGGTATGTGGCGCCTCAAGCGGAAACGTGACGAGTTTGGACGAATCATCAAGTACAAAGCTCGATGGGTGGCTGGAGGTAACCATCAAATCAAAGGTGTCGACTTTGATTCAACCTACGCCTCTGTAGGATTAACCGACACTCTCAGAACTCTATACGCTCTTGCTGCGAAAGAAGACCTTGAAATGTCCCAATTCGACATTGAAACAGCTTTCTTAAATGGCAAAATGAAACACAAGGTCTATGTTCGACAAGTGACAGGCTTCCGAGATCCCTCCAAACCCAATTCTGTCATGATGCTCGATAGGTCCCTCTATGGAACATGTCAGGCTCACCGAGAATTCAACGAGGATCTTGACGGCAAACTGAAAACCCTAGGCTTCACCGTATGCCCTGTCGACAACTCCTTATACACACTCCGCGAGGGATCTTCCTACATTCACATACCCATGCATGTTGATGATGGAATGGTCTTTTCAAACAACAAAACTCTGATGTCCACTTTTCGCACCAACTTACAAAAATACTACAAATTTCGCTGGAACGACAACCCCTCTCTTCACCTTGGTGTCCATATCACTCGTGACAGAACAAACCGAAAAATAACACTCGACCAATCTCATTACATCGAAGCAATGCTAGAACGATTCGGCCTATCCAACTGCAATGGTGTCAAAACGCCCCTACCCCAAAATATCAAACTTTCCACTCCTCTACCCGAAGATGCGACTGAAATCGAACCTTACCGGGCTGCAGTTGGTATGCTTAACTTCCTATCTGTCCAAACCAGACCCGATATCGCCTTCTCTGTCAGCTACCTCGCAAGATTCAACTCAAGACACAACGACTCACACTGGGCCGCTGTAAAACACCTACTACGATACGTGAAACGCACTGCCTCTTTCGTCTTAACCTTTGGTTCGGATAAGGCAAAAGGTCTCCTAGTCGAAGGGTACGCTGATGCCGACTATGCCGGTGACATAGACACACGACGATCCACAACTGGATTTGTATATTTCGTGAATGGCTCTCTAGTTTCTTGGAAGAGTCGCCGTCAACAATCAGTTACATTATCAACAACCGAGGCTGAATATTTGGCCATTGGTGATTGCGCAAAACACGGTCTCTGGTTATGCCGATTAATTGAACACCTCCAACAAAAATCACTCATCAATGTACCAATACAACTTCCACTGTCCAATGACAACCAAGGCGCTGTGTTCCTGTGCAACGAAGCCTCTGTGAACAACAAATCTAAACATATTGATATCCGACATCATTTCATTCGAGAACTCACCCGTGAAGGACGAATAACTGTCTCTCATGTATCAACAAAAGAAATGCCTGCTGATGCTCTAACCAAAGCAGTGGGACCAATTATTCTGAACTCATGCTATGATCAACTTGGACTTTCTGATATCAAAAGGTAGTGAGCAGGGGGGGCTGTTGGAACCAAACTACTACATTACATACTTAATTGATTTCTCTTATTTTTTTTTCTTTCTTTACAATTGTTTGTGCGCACATAAATTGACTTACCAAACAATGTAGTTTGCTTAAGGTTTTACTCACAACCTTTTTGTCTAGTCTAACCTAACCTCTGCTTGTACCGCTTGATCTAGTTTATCAAATTCCTGATTGAGGAAGTTTCTTTTTCTTTATCATTTATTAACTTCCTCAACCACAACACATTATCACCAAACAATCTCTCCGGATCAAACATTCTCCTTCTAGACTATTTGACTGACTTTGTGTTGTTCTTGATCTTATCAGGTATGAGTTAACTACTGTTTACAATTTCTCTTTCTATTTGTTATTTGGCTTGATAGATAAAAGAAATAAACATCATTTATTAACTTCCTCAACCACAACACATTATCACCAAACAATCTCTCCGGATCAAACATTCTCCTTCTAGACTATTTGACTGACTTTGTGTTGTTCTTGATCTTATCAGGGATCTGAGATCCCTTTATCACCTTCGGATGGTGAAGGAAAGGAGGTGTGGGAAAAGCAGTTCCAGGAGAATCAGGCCATGATGAGGCGGATGGAACAAATGATGGTGGAGCAGTGGCAGAAGAGAGTCAAGGAGGAGGTGGACCAAGCAAGGAAGGAAGAGCGGGAGAAGACGAAGAAGAGGTATAGCAACAAGGAGGGTAAAAAGACAAGGCGGGAGACGAGTAATGAAGAAAGTAGTGAAAGTAGTAGTCAGAGCAGCTCGGAGGAGAGTTTGGTGGAGAGTAGTGAAGATGAAGAAAGGAGTAGGCAGAAGAGCAGGAGGAAGAAGTCAAAGAAGAGTGTGAAGATTGCTCCTCAAGATCCTAATTTGAGGTTTAGTAGGGAAAAGGATGTCAAGAAATTCCTTAGGGATTTTGAAATTGCGGCCAAGGTGGCTAGGGCTACGGGGAAGGATATGGCAATGCAGGTTTGTGCATTTGTGAATGGTGAGGATTTGCAGGAGGAAATCAAGGAGTTGGTGTTGGGATAGTCCTACATGACTTCAAATTCTTTATGTAAAAGTCCTGTGAGACTAACCCATGATATGTAGAATCTAAGTGTGTGCTCAACAAACATATTACATCATGTGAAAACCGTTATGTAAAAGTTTCACTATATAAATCCTACTGGAGCAGTCAAGGAAAGGTGCTTCTTCTTCACCTTTCCTTTGTCTCTTTCTCTGACTGTTCCAGGTAGGATTTCTCTCTGTTTTCTGTTTGATTTAGTCCGTGAAATTTACATACCTTTCCTTTGTCTCTTTCTCTGACTGTTCCAGAGCTCAAGAGGTTATGAGCCCGTCGTCTACCGACTGAATTAAAACCATATCTCATATTCCTAGTTCAGATGGGGAGACGGAGAATGGGATTGGAAGAAGTTGAAGGCAGGGAGGAAGGATAGGTATGCATCCATTTGGGAGGCGCCTAGGTATACTGTGGAGGATTTGAAGGAGTTGACCCTGCAGTATGAGTGTATGGGAGGTGTGGATAGTAAGGTGGAGCTTGAAGGTTTCCGGCACAAGTTCAAGGTGATACTTGGATACCTGAAAAGGAATGACTACATCGACTCGGAAGATGAAGTCTGCCGGTATTACTATGAGGTGTTTTCAGATGCCAAGAAGCTGAAGAGCAAGGAGTTGCTTTGGGACAAGAATCAGTTGAGGGTGACAAAGGATGGAAGGCATAGGTTTCCAGGGTGGAGTCTACTGAAGAAGGCGGTAGAGAAAGTCATGGGAGCGGAGGTGGATCTGGTGTTTGAGGAAATGAGAGGCAAGAAGGAGGTGAAATTGAAGAAGGATGAAGAATTGAAGGACAAAGTGGTGCAGAAGGATATGGAAAGAAGGGGATTGAAGATGGAGGGATTGAGTAAGAAGGCGGACGGACATAAGACCGAGGATCTGGCGGTGGCGGAATTAGTGAAGCAGTTTGCTGCATGGAGTGGTTGGGGAGCAGGCAAGCCTAATCCTGGCAACCCAGTGGGGGGAAGGGTTAATCAATTCAACCCGGCCAACAATCCTGCTCCTGCGTATTAGAACAGGGGGCCCCCACAAGCAGGGATAAATCCCAACACTTATTTTGGTGCCGGACAGCAAGGCAATAATGCTAGTCCTGGAGGGTATGGAGGAGCTAGAGGAAGAGGAGGATTTGGGGGTAATCATTTTGGAAGAGGAGGTTATGCAGGGAACAGGCCTCAGTGGAATGGGCAAGGAGGACAGTTCCAGGGGAACCAGGCTTCTCAAGCTAATGGAGGAGGACCTTGCGGACCAGAGAATTATGGACCGGCAAGGGGGAGTATCAGCAGAAGCCTTTTAGAGATGGGCCGTTGATGTGTTACTTATATTGTGCTTGGGAAGGACATGGGCATAATAGGTGTCCTGATAAGCAGAGGGACATAAATGATGGTTATGTCACTAAGCATAACAACACTTATGTTCTCTTGAATGGTGCTGTGGTGAAGTGGGATAGTGCTCAACCTATTAGGACAGTGGTGGCGGACCATTCACTTCAGGTCAAACAGGCAAAGCAGGCAGCGGCCAACTCTGCGGCTGCACGGTCAGCGGCGGCTCAACCTCCGGTTCAGGCAGCTCCAGCTCCTCCTGTGGCTCTGGTGGTTCAAGAAAAGGTGATGGTGACTGGATTTCTTACCAAGGGGACTGATAGGAATCCTCAACTTGAAGAGTTGAGAGCAAATTGTGGTGTTCTGGAAGCTTGGAAGATGCCTTCTGTTTCCAGTTCTAGTTTCAAAACCAAGGCAGCTATGGCCGGGGCGGGAACTAAGGTGTATGATGAATAATCAGAATCAATGAACAACTCTATAGAGCTATTGATAGGTAGCATATGCCTTCTGTATGTCAACATCAAAGTCAATTTTCTTTGAAACTGGGTTTTTGTTCAGAAACCCAGATCCTTGCCACCTTTGCCAAACCTGAAAAAGTTCCCAAAAACTAGTTGAAGCAATCCTATTATCAACAGTAGGTTTCAATGTCATCAAGTATGCCAACAGAACCCTAGAAGGTTCATCAGATTTAGAAAGTTGCTTGATCTCAAGTGGATTGATTCTAAAAGACTTTTCCAAGTCATCTTTTCCCCATCCGCTCAAAAATTCCTTCATAAACTTCAAGGCATCAAGTATTGCAGGATTTGGTTGATGATTTGAAACTTCAATAGGATGAAGAAGTTGGATCATTCCAAGGAAACAAGGAATGATTCCAAAGATTGTCTTTTGTTTCAATGATTCAAAGTTTCCTTGCCATTCTTGAGGTAACTTTAATTTTTTGTTTTTCATGGTTTGACAATAGGTTTGAATAGATTTAAATGGTAATTGTTGAGGATTAAGTGTAAACAATGTATTTCTTCCTACCTCTCTAAGTATCCCAACAAATCTTTTACTTCTTCCTTCTTTCACCGAAAAATTCTCCTTTCGTATAAATCTGTAAAGAGGAGATTTTGTGTTTTTCATATTGATTTCAAGACCAGACTGCCCTGAGCTCGATATGGTAGCTGGAGGCTCAGGCTCTATCTCCCAATCTGGGAGTAAATTGGCCTTTGCTAGATGATAATGCCATCTCACATGCAAGTCTTGATGGTTTTTGATCATCATCTTGTTCTTGTAGGAAGACAAATGGTACCAATGATTACAAAATCGCCAAAGAACGATTAGAGACATTCTTGATGTTCTTGCTAACCCCATCAAATAGTGCCACAATTGAAGAGGGTTTTCTATCTCAAGTGTTTCTGGTTTGATAGCCATTGTCGGAACATCACAATGCTCCAAGTCGATCCATCTCCATACCTCCAAATACCTCATAATGAAAGCCCATCCATCATAAACCAGTTCCTTCATTTCTTCTTTTGGCGTTGAGTGAATGACTTGAAGACTTCCTAGAAATACAAGTGTGAACTGACGATATGCTTTTGATAATGTCCTGAAGACCTTTCTTGATTCTTGTTGAAAGATCACCGAATTGATGTGCTTGCTAACTATATCTCTTTTGAGTAATTGGAACCAACGTTTCATCTCGTTTTCAAGACCTGTCTCAGAAGCTACCTGGCGTCCCAGATAGACCATCTTTTCAAACATATGATTGATCTCCGGAATACTATGCCAACTATTTCCTATCACTCGGACTTTGTGATCAGGAAGCATCACCGATGCACCACTTTTTTTGAAGTGATATTTGTGAAACTGAGCTCTCCCTTTATGTACAATTTCACTTGACCCGCCCTGATCCATAGAACAGGATCCAATCAGTGAGATTGGTTGTACTGCCTGCTGGGATTGACTTTCGGTTGTCGTCGACGAGTAACCCTCAGTTGGGACGCTGTTCCTGCAGTCACTTGCCTTTCCCATGACTCTTGTATGTTGATTTAGTTTGCTAAGTAATCCCATGGAATCACTTGATGAGGAATATTGACAGTGATCAGGATGATGGTTCTCCACCTCTTGAATGTCTTCATCCGTTTCTCTACCATCGTTGATTTTTCTACGCTTAGGGTCTTGATCCTCCTCCTCGGTACATTGTGATTCAAATGGAAGGTTCAAATCAAAACGAAACAGTTTCTTTCCCTTGGACTCTTTTGAACCGCTTGAAGATTGTATCTTTCCTAGACTGTTCTGCCCGGATGTAACAAAACCCGAGATTGTGTGGGGTTCTTTTGCTTGTTTCTGTGGTACAAAAGCTTCGTTTTGTAAGCCAGATATGCCTAGACTTTCATGAACCACCTCATTTATTGCAGTATTCGAATGGATAGTGCTCATTTGGAGGGAGTTGTCCATGGGGTTACACACGATGTGTATCGACATGGCTAAGAAAATGCTGATAATTGGCGTAATGCTGGGCATCATGACTGAAGATCAAAATGAGCAAGATGTTCGATGTGGGTGTTCTTAGAACTCAACATCATCGTAGTCATATAGCCCTTGAAGCAATGTATATCAAGGTTTTAAAGACCTGCGGGCGCAAGCATTGTCAACTCTGATTCAAAAAATCCAACGTGTTTTGGGGTTTGAAAACACGAAGACAGAGTTTGTGGCACGTTCAGATCATTTACACATTTCTCAATCTCAAGTGGGGTTCAAGTTGGACAAAAAGTGTCTGAAAACTTTATGCACTTTTGCCTCCCAGCCCTCTAAGAAACATTTTTTTGGAAGACAAAATTGATAAGAATGTGCTTCTCAGGTCAAAATTTAATTTTTAGCAGCATTCTGAGGATGTATGGACAGTTGCATTTGAGGCATATTTCAAACTTGAAACCCGCTATGCGAAACATAATCATGGTTACTCAGAGTCAAAAGATGCGCTACAGCATACCCAGCTTCACACAAGTCAGTCCACGGCAGACTCAGTCGCCTTCTACCCGCAGGATTCCAGATTATCTTTTTAGGTTTAAACAAGGGCCACAGGGTGGCACTGGAGTGATAGCATGTGTTCACTTGATACAACTTATACAAACTCTAAAAAAAACTTTCGGCAGACCAGCTAACACCGATCATATATTTGAGATTTGTACCCCACTTTTGATCATAGATTCAATCGAGAGTGAGACACCGAATCTGATGTCACTCAAACTCTTAGCGAGGTTTTTCTAGCTTAACAAAAGCCCCATCAACCACAGAGACGTCCCTCATCTTTAGAGGCTCAGGCTGTGAGGCCTTTGTGTTTGAGTTTCCAAAACGAGCTCAATAAAGTCTCCTGATGGTTCAGATCCAAATCAACTGAAACATTCAAAATAAAATACCAACAATTTCAACCAAGAATAACATTTGAATCTTTCATGATACATACGAAAAAACACTAAACCAAGAACAAGATCTTTACGAAACCAAAAACAAGATCTTTACGAAACCAAAACAAGATCTTTACGAAACCAAAAACACAATCATCTGGTCTTACTTTACAACTGATACTGATACTGAACCAACTTTTGGTTTCTTTGTTATTGTGGAAAATTCCATACGAAGTTGAATTTGATTTTTGGACTTCAATTTGATAAATCATTGTCTTTTGTCATCATCTTTTATCATCAAGTTTACAAATGTCAAATTCGGTTTATCATACAAAGTTTCAATGAACCTTTCAAGAACCAATTCATAAAAAAAATTTACCCAACAATTTGAGTACTTTTCAATAAATGTTTCTTCCTTTAATTGATTTGTGTTGAATCCTTACTACAAATTTTATAAACAAAATCCCGAATCAGTAATCCTTCATAAACCATAAACATCCCGAGGAAAACCCCAGAGTTCAATTTGTTTTTGAACTTACAATTTCCAAACGAGATTATTCAAATGACCAGATTTCGATTCTATTTCATTAGGTTTCAAAGCCAGAAAAGCCTACAAAAAAACCCAAAACCCTCAAAATAAATAAAATCGAACTGTGAAATCTAATGAAGAAGGACAGTTTACCATTTTAGTTAAATAAATTTCAGAACATCCTACGTCCGCTTTAAGTTGATTAAATCCACATCCATCGACTACTTTGGCTGTGATAGTAAGACTCGGGTTATCAGAACGAGAAAGAATCCTATGTTTATAATTTTCCCAACCAAAAAAAAAAGAAATTAACTTTGGATTTTAAGATTTGACCCAAAAGTGCAAACAAACATACACTTCTTTTCCACAATTCGAATTCAATGCACTATTTTTTCCAAGGAAAACCATTCGAAAGAAAACCCCCCGTTTGGTTGGACAATAACCCGATGACAAGTAAAAGAACCCGTGATCAGATCGAACAAAACGAGTGCTTTTGTTAAAAGTTTGATTCTTACGTTGTTAACCATCCACTTTGATTGACATCATTTCCAGTTTGATCACTTCCACTCCAAAGACAAACCCCTAAAACCGAGTCTGTCAAAACCGGTCCACATATCTAAACACCCCAAAAAAGGAATCAGATCCATGTAATTAAAAAATATCCAAATGGATCGAAGAAAATGCTTACTCCTTTTCCACTTGGAATCATTTCAACCTAAAAGACATCCAAAAAAACCAATCAACCTCAATCCGATCCGCAACAATATAAATCCGTTCTAGACTTACATTTCCACTAGTTTTGAATGAAGGGCTAGACCCTTGACCGCTTTGAGATTTGATAATCTTAGTAGGATCCGCACCGATCTTGGTTTTCGAGTTGAGATTGAGATCTGAAGAAATGATACTTTGAGTTTGATTTGGTTGTTGTAGACTAGACTGAAGGCCCGAATTCGTCGCAGTCAAATCACTTTTCACTTGATCTGAACCTACTCCATTCTTAACCGTTCTCGTAGGTTTCTTAGATTCTTTTTCTTCAAGCTTTTCTAATGAAGGTTTAGCTTGTACATCCTTTTTGATACCTTTACCATGAAGTCCTTGAGATTTACTTGTAGGAGGTGAAAATTTCGGAGGACTTGAATCTTTTTTAGTTTGATCTATTTCATTATCTCCATCTCCTTTAGAAGTAGAAGTAGAAGGAGAAGTGTAAGAATCAGTTGTGTTGGTGTCTCCAGAAACAGATGAAATTGGAGTCTCTGGGATCTCTCCTGTTGGGATTAAAGAAGTAGCAATGGCATCTGAGAGTTTGGTATCGGATTTAGGAATCGAATCGGTTTCATTTTTGGAATCTTCTTTGGAAGTGGTATGTTTAGATTTTGGATGTTTTGAAAATTTACTAAATCCTGTCTTGGCTGATAAAACATTATATTGATCGTCTTCTTCATTAATCGTACGTAATTCTGGTTCATGATCTTGAACTAGATCTTCAGTTTGATTTAAATCTACTACGTCCTATAGAATGATTTTTCATTCAAAGGTTTTGGTATTAATTCTTTTTTCTTATTATTCGTTTGAAAATTTAAATCTTTCACATACCCTTTTGTTGTGTCTTTTAGAATGGACAGGTTGACTTATAGATCCAGATTTCTGACCACTCAAAGCTTCATCTATCGTAAAAGTTTCACTAGAACTAGAACTAAAGCTCGAACTAGAACTCGAACTAAAGCTAACTCTCAAATCGTCTTTGCTGGTGTTATTCTTACTCGGATTAAGAGGAAGACCAGTCGGATCATTAGAACTTGGAGTCGTAAGTTTAAGTTTATAATACTTTGAACAACCTGTTTGAGGTTGTTGTGAACTGATCAAATCGAGTTGATGAAAAGATACCCATAAAGTTAAGATCAGAACTTGACCAGCAAGCATGTTAAAAGTATATAGTATGTAAATAGAAGAAAATACGCAAGTTCTTTTTCTTTAAAAAACAATGGTCAAATATGTTTGTTATAAAAAAAATGATTAAAGATCTCTTTGGAATGGGTTGATCGACATGAATGACGAGATTCAAAGGGCACGAGTTTATAAAGTGTTCAAATCGGATCAAATCCAATCAAATGGAAATCGAATCTTGGAAACAAGAAAATGAAAATGGGTTCCACGAGGTTTAATTTTTTTTTTTGTTTTGGCTCGTCATTTGTTGATGAAGTGATCGAGAACTGGGTTCACTTGACAAATGGTAAATTGATTGATGATAAGTTTATGATTTGATTAAGATTAACAGGATACCGTGATGGTTGATGGAAACTAGAAAGTGTTCTTTACCATTAAAGTTGGGAAAGTGTTACTTAATTGATTAAGAGTAACTCTAAAATTTGGTATATGTATGTTCGATGAGCTTTGGATTTGGAAAGTCGACCAATTCTAGTTTAACAACCGAACCGATCACTACCTACGTAATACTATTTTAATATTTCTATATCAACCATGTGAAGAACAAGTCATCATACATTGTAGATATCTCCATCATCACCATCATCATCATCACCATCGATCTAATCAATCAACTCAATCTATCATCATCTTCAAACTTCATCCAATAAAATCACCCTGGTGGTATTTTATTCGATCACTTCATCACTGCATTCTTACTTTTCATCATCACTACATTCTCAATCTTCTCTCAAATAGAATTCATTAACTTTAAAGGGAATACCCTCGTGGTGAGATCATTGAGATCAGATTAAACTTGATTTTTGGGATATGGTCTGATTTGTTATCGATTGATTTGTAGAACACAAATGAATCCTTCAAATCTTACGATTCAAGTCGATGATCGAGAAAAAGATCAAGGTCCTACTATCAAAGGATTAACACTTCAAACTTCTCCATTCTATACATCATCTCCTATAACGTACGTGAATAGATTGAATCAAATTTTCCATGATTCAGCACCGATTGATTAATCATTTTGAATTGGATGAACATAGAAAATCACCTGTGAAGAGATCGCCTAATGAGAAAAAAACGTTGAGAGCCAGAAGACCTTTCAAGTATTTAAAACATCAAGGACCACGTCCGATTCCCAGTAATCCGAGCAACCGAATCTTTTATTCAAACCAAACGATTTCCATCCATGATTCAAATCAAACTCACTCGAAGTTTTCACGGATCAGAACCAGTTCGAACTCTGATACAAGAGTGCCTAAACGATCTACTTCATCTAATAATCATAATGAACCTAAATCGACGAACCGAATCAATGGAAACAAACCTTACTCACAAATCTCTTCGCGTTTACTCAAATCACGAAACTTGAATTTGAGTGCCATAGACACGTTAGCATGTCAAAGAAGCAAACAACCAGGTGTAGAAGTCTTACACGACGAAGCCGATTCGATGATGAGCCATAGTGGAGCCACCCATCATTGTCATTCAACAAGCACCAGTTCACCTCATCGACTTTCTCAACACCTTTCGACATCCTGTTTCTCGGCTTGGTCAACAACCACTTCCTCAACTCAACTGAAATCTTTATCTTTCTTGTCTTTGAACTCTACTAGGTCTTCGGAACTTCAGTTACCTGATCAACTTGAGAAATTGAACGTCTTGAATCATAATCTTCCAACTACTAAAGTTACTCATCATCAAGCTTTACAGAAACGTTCGATCTCGTTTCATGAATCGAATCCTTCGAATTGGTGAACTTTTTATCAATCCTTTCATAACTTTTTATTAGGTTATTCTTTTTCTTTCAAGTTTTATGGTTTCCTTCTTCAGTCTTTGATGCTTCATGATTCGTTTTTTTGTTTGTAACCCTAAAAAACACTCGATTCTATGTTTTGTTTTTTCGTATTGATATTTTCCAAAAAAAAGCAAAGTACTACTACCAGTTTATTTATTAAGCAATGTTTTGTATGTATCTCGAATCCAAGAACCCCCCCGGAAGAAAAACCAATAAAGAATTATGTTCTCTTTGATTTTAGATGAATTTGATCTATTGATTAGGTGTAAAAAGTTGTACTATTTTGTCTTTGGAATGTTGTTTTGTGTACTGTGAATGGAATTGAAAATATGAAGGTTTTGAACAACTACCAACAAAGCAACTGGGATTATGGAAAATCAAAAAACAAGGATCTGGTTGTGAATAGGTCTCGTGATTCTTTGGATGATAGTGGTAGTGATATAAGGTTTGAACATATATAGAGAGATCTCTCTGTGTTGAAGGGTTAGGGTTTAGGGGTTTCATCTTCTATATCAAAGATATTCCTTTCAAATTCTTCAGAACTAGATCTTTGAGAGGTATTGAACCTAATTATCTTTCTTTGAGATTTAATATTCCTATAAAAGGTTTTCTGTTGTGTAGATATACTTACTTCTTTGATGATGGTTATCAGAAATTGGTATGAAGATTGAAGATGTTGAAGACTTAAGAGTTATATATGATTTCTTTTTATAAGCAACACAGTTTGAAGAAAAGAGGAAACCCAATCAACCAAAGTAAGTAAGTAAAGAAGAATCTTATGGAATTTAGAAAAAGATGTTTATCATACTTCTGATTTACTGCTTGATTCTGTATGAAAACTTTTTTTTTCACCTTTTATTTACAAAATTGATCCTGTTCTGAGTATTTATCACTCTAAGCTAGGTCTGCTGGACAAGGACTGATCTAATATGTACACCCCCTACCCAGCATACCAGTGGGTTTGAGCTATTTGTCCCAGATCAATGATAAGACCATCCACCACCTTTGATGTGAATCACTTGATTGATGTCTTCCATTATTCCATCACTCCTTTAAGGGTACACAAATATCCAAAATTCATTTGGAAAAGCTGTGCAAAGCCAGTTGAATTTAAAGATTTCCCCTCAAATACCCATGAATCAAATGGGTTGGAATGAGTTTTTCATACAGGTTTTTCATATGGGTTTTTGATGTTTGTGTTGTTGAAAGACAATTGTGATAAGCTTATGTTTTTCAATCAGTTTTGTTTAGTTATGTTTCATTCTCATTATTGAATTGATTGTTGAAGTCCCAATACCATTAACACTGATCATTCTGAATCTGTTGGCTCTCAAATCTTTCTCATATATGTATTGACCAAGATCATCCAAGACTAAATCTTTTTCCCCATCTGTTGGAAAGAGAGTAAGTCAATTTTCATCCTATACAAATCACCATACTGATATGTTTGACTCTATACATCAGAACTTATATCAAATCTTACCTACAAATTTTGTCTTGAACTCTTAGGGTGCGTTCACTTAAGCAATTTCTGGTGATGTTGGTAGTCTTAGGATTTTTAAGAGAAGGAATATGGAGATGGGTAATTACAATAACTAGAAGATCAGCGGATAGTGAGACTTGTAGGTTTGCTTTAAGGGAAAGGTACAAGTCGGACTAACAATAGCAAGATCCAATTTCTAGAATGAAATAATTGTTCTCTAAAAATTGTCTGCCTCCTTTTCTTGGGAGGTATCACAAAGCTTCTTTTATACTTGACTCAGTGGTAAGGCAGGTTAGTGGTTCTAGTAGGTTAATTTTGAGAGTTTCTTCCATGGGAACCTCTCCAAGTTGTGGTGATGCTAGTTTCTCTCTCTGATGTGGCTTGAGGCTGAGACTTAATTGTCTTACTACTTTGCTCACAAGATCTCTTCAAGTTGAATCTCCTATTCCTTCTGTATTGGGTGAGGTTGTTATTTGAGATTATCTTGTAGTTGATTTTCCTTCTGATCCTTTAATGGTTTCCAGAAGTTTTTTCTATATAGTTATCTATTGTGTATTGATTCTTGATTGGGGTCTTTTACTTGATTGGGAGTGTTGGTCTCTTTTTTGAGACTGTCTGTCTTATTATTTGTCTTGATTGGTATTTCAACCTCTCAATTCAGGGTATGGAGTCTTTGAAACTAGAGAACAAGATGATATATACTGTTTTTTTTTGGTAATGGCAAATTGAAATCTTTACCGAACCAGGCCCCAAGTTATAAATTTTTGTATTTTCATTTTATTAATTTTATGTGCCTGAAAATCTTCTGCCTTTGCTTGTTAGCATAGCTTGGAGTTGACACTGACTCCCATACCAAACATGCTCATATCACAGATATATACAGTCTTAACTGAGTTCCACTCAGTGCTAGACTCACTCAAAACCCAAGATTCCTTCTGCTTTGTCATGTTTGCAAGAAATTTTGTCAAAACCAACCAATGTTTAATTGAAATAGATCCAGAAAATGTCTCATGTGAGTACCTCAACACCGCCCTGGGTTCCCTGGTAGTCCCTGGAATGTGGGAGATGAGATTGAGTAAAAAATTGTAGTAGTTTAAGACAAGATGGTGAGAATCCAAAAGGATTTGTTAATTAGATCTCAAAGCTGTGTTTGCAAGTGAATCTGAATCAATTCATGAATGAGATATTGGATGAGATTTAAAAGTCAATGGTCTGGATCAAGACTTGCAGACTGATGAAGCCATGGTTTGGTTTGTTTGGCAATTTTTTGTTGAGTTGAAGACAAGCTTTGAGGATGATGGAACATGGGTTTATTGCATTCAACACAATATACATAGGCCATTTGTGTGCTGACCACTGAATTTTTCTCATGGTTTGACTTGCTGAAGTCTCAATTAGAATGCAATGGCTTGTTGAACAACACCCTTGCAAATGATTATGTCTACAAAAAAATGTCTTACATTGATCAGGCGTGAGCTGGCTAAAGTTCTCCCTAAGTTCTCCCTCAAGGTTTGGTCTTGCAGAGACTGCATCATTGCATTTTTGGATATGTATGACAGAGAAACTTGGATCCAAAAGCAAGAGGGACCTTGCTTGTGTATAGTAGTACAGTCCCCTCCAAGTGGTTTACATAATCATTCAAGTTCTGCAGCGGCGGGGCCAGAGCCTGTCACAAACCTGATGATTATGAATCCTAGGTGTGGGGACATGTACATACAACAAATTAGGACTTGGAGGATTGGTATCTCACTGTGTCAAACACATCAAGATTTAGTCTGACACTGTGGTTATCAGGGATGTGCAATACTTGTGGGATACTTATTTAGGAATGTTCCTTAAGGGTCTTCAGGAACCTTTGTTAAGGAACATTCTGCGTTATCCACAGATGCAACCATATGTGCCCTCCCATCAACACCACCGGCGCTCCGCCCGAGATAGCGGCAGCGGAGCGATAGTGGAGCGCGCAACCCGCCCGTGCTATGAGTCTGGCCGGATAGCGGGTCCTGACCACCGCTACAGCTATGGCCCTGCCCCCCATAAAGATAGCGGTTTTTGCATCCGCACTCTATAGCGCAATTCCGCAGTGCTATTCGGTGCCACAGCGCCCACGAGCGCTTAGCGCCATGGTGACCCAGGTCCCATAGCAAACCATAGAGCGCAGGGAGTCCCAACTGCCATCATTGTTTGTTCTTTGATCGATTTGTCAAGACTTCAAGGCCCATACTCAATCTACTGGTTCTGATTGGCCAATTGTGTCCAGCAACTTACATCTACACCTTTTGGAACAAAACCTGAAGCTGTTTTGATTTGTTTACTCGAGTTTTTACATTCAAGTCTTAATCCAGATTCCAAATCAATTGATCCATTAACGATTAAATTATTTTTCTTAGCTACTAGTTTTAAACCATTAAATACCTTTTGTCTTGTTTATGCCAAGGTGCTTTAGTTGGTCAACCGATTCAACCTACTTCAATGATTTCTAATGGACGAATTGAATCAATTGATTGATAGGTAGATTTGAAGATACTCAAACTCGATCAAGATCATTAGAAAAAAGATTAGCAAGTAATCAATCCGATTCATTACGAGCTGATACTGAATTGATCTTAGGAAAAGCAGCATTCCAATTAAATCAATGTTCAAATCATCTGGATAGATCGTTATAATCGTAAATGTCACAAATGATGAGTTTGATTCAAACATCATATCAAATTAAAGAATCGATCGAAAAAAATTGAGAAAGAGATTGATAAGAAAATATAAATTCAAGAAGACAAAAAAAGTTGGATTTGGGATTTGGTTTAAAAGCTTGCTAACTTGACAGATGGTCAAAAGAAACTGATTCGATAATGATAGATCATTAAAGATCAGGTAAGAGGGTTGAATTCTATCTGATCCACCATCTTGTATTGATCAGTCTTTGTTTTGTTGAGCTGTAGATTATGCGATCATTATCATTGAAATTAGATCAAATGGAGTGACATACACAGGTTTTGTGGAGAATAGAAACGAGACTTCTTAATCGCCAATTGTTTACCAATTGAAAGGATGAAAAGGTTCATCAAACTCATTTCACCTCCTAGCTTCTTACTTTGATTGAGCTTGATTGTTGACTCAGTTTATCATGATTGAAATCATAAGTTGAAGTATACTGATCGAGATTGTCAAGTTTCTTCTGATGCTGCTAAGTTCAGCTTATCGTCATCTTTATCGACATCAAGAATTGGTCAACCTTAGGATCGTGGTACATATCGTTATACACCTTTACTTGCAATCTTATTTTCAGCTACTCATCTTTTACATCCACTTTGGAGTCAAATTTTGTTCTCATTATCTGATTTAGTAAAACAATGCCCGACAGCGCTTTTAGGCGCTTTTAAACTTGAGATTTACCCATAGCGAAGCGGAGCGATCTCAAAGATCGCACCGCTCTCAGAAGTCATAGGGCCTCAAAAAGAATAGTGGAGCGATTAGCATCTTATGATAGCGCTGAGACGCTCCGCTCGTAAAATTTTGAAATATAGCGAAGCGGAGCGGAGCGCCGGTGGTGTTGCTCCCATTGTGTTCCCCATTGAACTGATGAGGAAAAGATGGTGTTTGTGGAGTAAGTTCTATTCAAATGTGATACTTTGGTAAGATTGAATTAGGTTTGAAATTTGTATTGTTTAGGTTTGAGTGTATGTAATCAAGTTTTAACTGTAATCTGTTTGACATGTTTGAATGTCAAGTTCTATTGTAACAGTGACACACTGTAGTGATACGGAGAATTCCAGCAAAGAAACATCTTCAGTGATGTAACAGAAAGTTTGAGGATCAGTTATCAGAGATCTGTATGCACCAGAAGCAATGTCTTACTTGACGGAAAAGATGTTTTGTAACTTTGTAAATAACAAGGTTTTACTTAGACCTTCTCTATTTATACTTGTCCATCTGAGAGAAAATATTCCCACTTATCTTGCCACACTGCCCATAGCTTGACTAAATCAATTCACTTGTAAGGGTATACAGCAATTTCTGAACCCATAACCACACTATACATAATGAACCATGCACATTTCTTGGTCATATTGATGATTCCAATCTTCTTATTGCAACTGGAGGCTAATCTGTTGAAAAAAGTCCACCTGGATGGGATCACCCGCAAATTGAAGGGAACCCATTTGATTGGAACCCATAAATCACCCCCCCATGATATTCAGAGGGATCTTCAGCCACATGGAGAAAGATTGAAGAAGTACCATTCAACAGAATATCAAGATTTTCCATCACATTATCCACACCCACATGAAGAAAAATTGGAGGTAGACCATGTGGAACAACATCAAGATTTCTCAACACATGATCATTTGGACCCCCACAAAGAAATGGTGGATGTACATCATCTGGAACAACATCAAGATTTTTCTGCGCATAATTTGCACCCATATGAAGAAAATTTGGAGGTAGACCATCTGGAACAACATCAAAATTTCCAAACACATGATTGGGACCTCCAGAACAAAAAAATGGAGGCAGATCATCTGGAACAGCATGATTTGGACCCCCATGAAGGACATTTCCAGGGGGGGCATTTGGAAGAACATAAAGCTTTGATAATGTATGACTTCCATCCCCATAAACGTAGGTGAAGCGCTCTCCAATATTTATATGATAGGAAGCTGCTGAATACCCAAATGACTGTCAAATCAAATCTAGATCACTTGAAATCAGACAGCCCTTTAATGTTCATGTACAGCAGATACAGCAAAAAAGTTCATCACTTTCCTAGAAGGGATCAACATTTTTGGCACCAGTGTGAGTACTACTGGTATTCAATCCAATATATGATGAGATCAACAATTCAAACTTATCCATCTGAACCAATTATTCAGACAGAGTATACTTTCATCAACACAAAGGAAAGTATAAAGAGTTTCTGCACTGCATGAATGATCTGTTAATTTCAACGAGAGACACCTGGGCAAAAAATGTTGTAGGTTTGTTTGAAGAAACAAAAGGAGATGAGATAAAGCAAGTTTTACTCTTTTGGTTCCTTAGAAATCTCATAGATTTCTACAAAATTTCCTATACAATAACACAGACAGTACATGAATACTTGGCTATATTGGGTCTACCTGTAGACAAGTGGCAATATGTCCACAACCCAGAAATGTGGAAACAAGTGGATATATATAAATGGTGGAAAGGAGTCAGTCCAGAAAGATTCCCAAGAGTAGTCAGTCCATACTGGAGTGATCACTTGGATAGAACGAGAAATCTATATGTTGCCAAGATGGTGGCCCATATCCAGTCGCTTGAAACTGAAAGGTAAGTAATATCAATCAAACATTAATTCTCTTGCGTTGGGAACCACCTCTTTCACAGCTAATTCTGAAAAACTAGAGATCTGATGGATTTTGTAGATAGTCAAAAGGAATTTCCCATGACTGGTGTGGAGCTCAGTGATGCTTGGTCCGGACAGGAACAAAAGGACCTATTTTCATTTTGGATATCCAGTGAGTTTGTTTAAATCAATTTGAGTCAAGATCCGGTTCTAAACAAAGAAAAAAAATCCAGAGAGAAACCTCTATTCCAAGATCCATCATGATCACATTTTGCAAAATGTCTTGGAGACACAAGTTGTTCAAACAAGATTGATTCAAAGAGCCATACAGGCTATTAATGAGGATCTAAGAGACAGATATTTATCCATGGATGAGCCTGAATCAGCCTTGGTATTTCATTCCAAGACCATTCTGGATTATATCAATTCCATAGACAGTGACAAGTAAGTTCCTTTTGGATTTCTGGTCATCTCAAGAGTCAAATAATGTCCTTGCTTAGGTTGTCTTTAAAAAATAGGAGTCTAGAAGTTTTCTTATCAACACAGTCATATATCAATCCTTATGGTATGGTACTCCCTCATGATGCTAAAGGTCAAGACAGACTCAATATCATCCGTTTCTGGACAAAATGTGGGTAATTTGTCTATCTATTATATGGTTATCTTTACTCATCTTACCCTCTTTTGGTCATTGAACCATTTTGTCAAAAGATGTTGCTGTTTTTCTCAAAATGAATCATTTTGGAGAGACACCAAGATTACAGATTGATATAGGAAATTTGGTGAAAAAGGATTTTAAGAAGATGTGTGAAATCATGGAGGATGTTTTACACCAATTTGATGGACACACATTATCTAAACAATATCCAATCTGTGATCAATACCTTGAAGCAGCCGGAAGTTCTGATTTTGAGTATCAGATCAGAGCTGCCTATGAGGCTTACCGGAGTTTCAGATTGAACCGTTATCTCAACCAATATACATATAGATATCATATAATGTGAAGAAAAGGCCACAAATCATGCATTCAATCCTCCAATAAGAAATGTTATACCCATCTAGACTTTTGTTTCTGATCTGCTTATATAGGATGTCATAACATATTGCTTGTGTCAGCCATTGCTGTATCACCTATTCACTGATCAAAAAGTAATGAGAATTGTTTCAAAATAATGTATTGATTTTTTTTCAAAGTTGTCTTCTTGTCTAGAAATCATGCGCCCAAGTCAGGCTGAAAGGAGATATCCTTCTCTAGCCACATAAAATTTATAATGAGGCTAGACACCCCATTATCAAAGAGAGATTCACTGGGTTCAGAATATCTTCAAAAAGTGGTATCTAAAATTTGAAAATGTGGACCAGACTTGCAAAAGTACCATACAATCATCTTTTGCTCTGGTTAACCTCACATCAGGGTCATTTTGATACTTTTTCAAGTTCAGTGTGTGTTTGTATTCCCATTTTCAAATTTGATTGTTCCTCTTGTGTTCTACAAATATTTTTCTTTTTGTTTGCATTTGAGTTCAGAATTATGTGATCTCATTATGCTTTTTTTAGTAATTAACAGTTGTGCTGTTCATGTCACATTGAGAGGAAACAACACACTCTTTCATATTGTGTTATTGACACCCTTAAGAACAGAGATGGTCTCTGTCTAGTGCAACATCTTACATGACTTGCAAGAGGTCTCTCATGGTAGATTTGGTTGCCAAACTTATCTACAATCCATAGTTAGCTTACTGTGCTGGAGAATGTCAGACACCCAGTAGCCTCATCTAAATCAAGCACCAGGCCAGATATTTTTTGTGTTTCAACAGGCTGGGTTGTTCTTGTGTCCAGCTGGAAGATGCTTGAACTCTGGACTGTGAATCAACTGTTTATCTCCTCTACACCCTCTTCAGGGACCCAAGAGCATTTTTTCAATGTTTGCTGCACCTCTTTTGCATTGATCATCTTGCCGGGTGCTCTGGATGAGAGTTGGATGGTAGATTCAAATGTGGCAGGAAAGTTTGCAAGAATCTTCCTTAGTGAGAATGACAAGTTGAAAGACAGGTCAATCTTCCATGGAACCAGTGCGATTGGCGAAGATGAAGTGGTACGTGACTGTATGTAGTATGTGATATGTAAACTCGGTGATCGGTGAGAATCAATAACCGGATGACGTAATGTGTATATGAGATGAAAGTCAGTGATGGTAAGGAGAAGCGAACCAACCCATCCGAACCAGATGACAACCAGAACCAGCTCTTGAGAATGTCTTTCTTCTCATTTAGTACTCATCAAATTAAACTTCATCAACATCTCATCAGGAACCATCGTCATCATCATCAACATCGATCATTCTCATCTACTCTTCATCATCTCAACAATATGTCAAACTCATCTCAACCGAAAACCAAGATCACCTTTGAATCTCAATCTACTTTACCAAGTCTACCAGTACCAGATTTACAATCAACTGCTGCTAAATACTTTCACTCAATCTTACCTATAGTCTCGTCTCAATCTCCAGATAGTCAAACTGCTTCAGATTCAAATCCAACTCCTCAATACAAACAGACTAAATCAGCTTTAAAAGAATTCTTATCTTCTCCATTAGTCAATGAACTTCAATCTAGATTGGTTGCTAGATCAAAGGATCCTTCTCTTCAAAGTTGGTTAATCGATTGGTGGAATGATTTAGCTTATATGGCTTATAGAGATCCTCTTATTCCATTCTCGTCTTATTATATTGCTCATTTATCAACCCCTCAATCGAAATCTCAAGATGGTCCCACTCGAGCTTCCAATTTGATCAGAGCTATGTTATTCTTCAGAGATTTGATCTTAACGTAAGTTTGTACAAACTCACCGTGATGATCCCATATATCTCGACATCAAAGCTGACTCCTGTTCTACATGTAACATCTACACTTGAAAAAGTGAACAACTACCACCAGAAAAGACAAGGAATGGTCCATTGTGTATGAACTCGTACAAATGGTTATTCAATACTGTCAGGTATCCAAACAAACCATCTGATACGGCCAAACAATTCGATCCTTACCAAAACCAACACATTGCTGTCATTCGTAAAGGCCGTTTCTATGAATTCGATCTTGTTAAACCTGATGGACAATGGCTCTCAGCTAAAGAAATCGAAGCGTGTGTTATATTTTATCTTTTCATTTAAATTCTCACCAACCAAAGCTGAAGGAGATCGATCTTGTGTTCTAGTCAACTCCGTAAAGTGATTCAAAGCGCTGGCGATCAAGAGACTCCTGATCCAATCGGTGCCCTGACATCTGATCATCGTGACACGTGGACTGATGTTTGCTTTTCTTACTTTCATCAACACCGATCCATTTTGTCTGACTTTCTCATCATTTCTGACACTTTAAACAGACTAGATCAGAATTGATTCAATCCCCTCAAAACATCAAATCACTCGAACGTATTGAATCTGCTATTGTCTGTGTGGCTTTAGATGATACAAGTCCTATCACTCGTGACGAGGTTAGTTTCATCTCATCTCAAGTTATACACCACATTATCCACCATTTTGACATTCTGTTCTTTGTCAGCTTGGTTGGAATCTCTGGTCAGGTGATGGAAAGAATAGATTCTTTGATAAGCAACAACGTATGTTTGCATATCTCATCAATCCCTTTTGATGCAGCAAACTGATTCTTGCCATTCCCTCTGAACAGTCATCGTTTGTGAGAATGGACAAAGTGGTTTCAATGCAGAACATTCTTGTATGGATGGAACCCCTGTAGCGACTATGAATGATTGGATCTTATCTCGACTTGAGAACAAATCCATTGATCTTGGTTCAAGCTCTGATTCTAATCTACCGACTCCGAAACCTATTACTTTTGAGATATCAACACGTACTAAGGAGAATATCTCTAAAGCGATTGAAAATCATCAAAAATTGATGTCGGCTCAAACGTTGGACGTTTTACAATACGTAGGATTTGGAAAACAAACAATTAAGAAATACTTCAAAGCTTCACCAGATGCGATTGCACAACTTACACTACAACTTGGACATTATAAATTGTTTGGAAGTGTTCCAGTGACTTATGAATCAGCTCAAACTAGAAAGTTCAAAATGGGTAGAACAGAAGTCATTAGAGCTTGTTCAATTGAAGCTTTAGAATGGTGTAAGGCTATGGTCAATCTTGATGTAGATCAAGAAACAAAAATTCAGAAATTCAGAGAAGCTGAAAAATCTCATGTAAGGTATGCTAATTGGGCAAGTAATGGAGAAGGAGTTGATCGTCATTTGTTAGGTACCTTTTAAACCATTTTCTTTCCCGCTTTTTTCCCTTTTTACTATCTCGTTTCTATAAACTGACTCGGTTTTTGTTTATATTTTGAAATGAAAATAATTATAGGATTAAGATTATTATTGAAACCGGGAGAAAAAATGCCAAAGTTATTTGAAGATGAAACTTACAAGAAATCGACTACTTGGATCTTTTCAACTTCTACTTTACCTTCTGAATATTTCAACGGTCTAGGATATGGACCTGGTAAGTTCTTTTTCTTTTTGAAACCCAATTCTCAAAGATTTCCTTTGGATTGATTTGATACTTTGTGTTGGGTTTGTTCTTCAGTGGTATCAGAAGGTTATGGAATTGCTTATGCAGTAAATGATCAATCTATGAGATTTACGATTACGACTACTACTGGAAATGGAAAAAGATTGAAAGAATCATTACAAGAAGCTGCTGAAGATATTAAAGCTTTGTTAATGAATTCGAATCCTATAGTGGAATCTTCCAAGTTATAAGTCTTGATTTCATTTCAGAGTTTTGGATTTGGAGTTTGTGTCTTTAGATCGCATGGTTCCTTTTTATCAGTTTTGATAGTTTGTTTTGGTGGTCTTGTCGTTATGGTTTAGTACAGTTTTTGGTTGTATTTCTAAGTCTTGCAAGTTCTTTGTTGATTTGTATTATGATTTTATTTTTATTTTTGAGTTGATTCTTTGGCTTATTGAGAGAGAGAAAGAGCAGTGAGATGAAGGTCGGTTTCGGAATCTATCAAACATTGAATTTGATGGCCTAATCAGTTGTGAAATAGGTTGTTGAGTCTGGAGGTAGGATTGATGTTTTCTCTCAAAGTTGTGTTTAAGAAAATTGCTCACCGTCACTCCACATTGCCCTGTTCAACTCCGATGATCGTAACTTCTGGATTATGTAATTCAACTGGGGGATCTGTTGCGCTGATATCGTTCTCTCTCTCTCTCTTTTGATCATGTATCTGAATGCTCATAAAACGCTTCAAGCGGATGATATATTCTAAAAATGCTTTCCTTACGATTAATATAAAATCTAGTAATGTAAAATAGAGAAAAAAAACGAAAACCAAAGACCCTAAGTAAAAGTTTAATTTATAATTGATTAAGAAAGATGGCCAAAGAATGTGAAAGTTTTAATATTGTAGATTCGTGTACAAAAGATGATGTATATATATGTTTTGAAGAGTATCATGGGGTTCTGTCGATTCCCGTGGTGAGGGGAGAAGATTGCTTTGAAAAACAATCATCTTGCACAATGTCTTGAAATGACTGTAGGAAGAAATTTACAAGAAGAAAAAACTGTCGAAAAGAACACCGTATGACAAATGCGAAGAGATCAGTTTGTAGTTCGGTTTTCGTTTTTTTTGGAAAGAAGGAGATCATATGTAGAAAAAAAAGTACATAGAGGTTAAGAAAGACTTACAAATTACTAAAACTACAAAAGCAGCCAATCTAAAGAAAAGAAAAGTTAAACAAATCGTGAGTATTCAGAAAAATCAAGTAATCAATTACTCTGTATTCAATAGGTTTTACTTACCCAGCATAAATTGCAGTCTTTCTCCAAAAATGTGATTCTTTCATTTTTTCTTTTTCAGTTAATTCAGGTTTGGGTGGAGTTGGGTTTGTGGGTGGTACTGCATCTATCTTTCCTTTTTCGATATCTGACATTTTGGTTTCTTTGAAATGAGTTATGATTTAAAATATATAAGATGATCAAACAAAAATGTTGGTTAGATTCACGAAAGGTTGAAGAAAATTAAATGAAGACGAACGTACGGGTTTTTTTATTAGGTGGTTTGTGGTTGAGTAGGATTCTTTAGAAGACTTGTACGGTACGAAGAAATCGTCGAGAAATGTGTTGATGTAGCTTTCAAATGAAGATGTTTAATGAAGGTTGAATTGTTTTTGATTGATTAACGCCAGCGTTAAATGAGAAGAAGTGCTTCCTGTGCTTCCAGATATCACGATAAATACGAAAAAAAAAGTGTTTCACCAAATACTAAAAAAATTAAATAACTTTAAAGATAAATAATAAGTTATTGGTTTTTTTGGAAAGAAGGTACGAATGAATTATCGAGTACTAAGATGTAATTCAAGTTGAACTTTTTTAAATAATCATGATCGTTGGGAAGGAAAAGAAAATTATGGTGACGAGGATTCGAGAGAATATAAAAGTAAAATATTAGTTTTTTGTTTGGGTTGATGATTTCATACAAAAAAAAAGACTTTGATTTTGGCTCACGATCTCAAATTAGGTGTATAACAATTTCTCTTTGACTGTAGTAGCATTGGTAATTATCATCATCATCATCAAAGAAGCACGTCATGACGGAGTTAAGGTTAAATAATGAATTTGGTTTTAGTTTAGTGTTACGGTTTTTGAATGAAGATGCAGAAGCTTAACGACTGACTGAAAAAAATTGAACCAAGTAGCTCTTTTCCTTGGTAGACGGTCGATTTACTTTCAAGCTGGTCCAAGTGATTTTGCCAAGTTGGATTCAATGGGTAGCTTTCGAACACCTATACCTCGCTTGTTGGAGTTCCGTCGTTAGAAATTAAGTTTTAGAAGCTGAGAATGAGCGCATGGAAGGATAGAAATGCAGAAGATGGTTTGTTGCAAGTTAGCACTGATAGCGACAGAGGTTGTGATGATCATCATTAGGACGGCATACGATAATATCACGTTCAACGCAGATCTTCTCAATCACCTTGCTAAAAGATAGCGTAAGGACCGACAAACGCAACACCTACGCTGATCATGTCTTGAAGCAAGGGGACTTTTCATGTGCACATCCATGTCTCATCGTTGAAAAAACTTATGAATTCAACTTCCCTAGAATCATATCACAGGTCAATCAATATCCAGGATGTCACTTCCAGGAACAACCTATCTCAAGCCTACTGGATTTAAAGAGGCTCAAATGCCGAATACACTACTCTCCTGCGTGGGTGATGATGTGTGAAAATCTGTTCGATGAATGATTGATGAAAGAGCATGGCGATCCCTTTATAATATTGGTAAGGAGCGAATTTACCACCCTTCAGTAAATGTGCAAAATTTGGTTTTACCAAAGACAATGATAGTTTTGGATCAGATAACAAATATTTTATTCTTCATGAGAACTAATTCAATGATCTGTACCTATCGCCTTTCAATTCATCTTTCCTAGAATAATGGCTTGATGAGCATATCGAAGGCGTATTCTTTAGTGGTAATATGATTGCTATTGGTTTCATGCAAATTTGTCTTACAATCACAAATGCGACGTTTCCAAAAATTTGATCTCTGGAAGGGCACCTTCTGTTCGTATGAGCTAAGTATACGTTTCCGTTAGGAATGTGATAAAGATTCACCTGCTCAGGTGCAAGAGTCAGATGAGTCAAGAGACTACACCTATTTTTGTTGCTGAAACTCCAAAAACTTGACCAGAATGCTTGCTTGAAGTATACATCACACAATGGAAATGAGGAGTGTTCTGTTGCGTTGTAGCAACACACTATCGCTCTGACATGGGTGGAGTGAAGAGCTTGCATGCCAATCCTGAATTGATGTGCTTCTTTTAACTGAACATGGACTTACTTATGTTTTCATGCCATCCGGGAAAGAATCACCTTGTTACAAAGCACATCCCACATTATCACTGCCAACAAAGATGCCTCAGATTGGATGTGCTAGGAATCCTGCATCTTTTTACAGAGATATACACATTTTACCACAGAGTTTGTGAAGATAATCTGTCCATTGCAATGGTAAAGTTTCATGGAAAGGCTTTGGTAAGACAGTCAAAATTGTAATATTCAATCAACATTCCAGAGATCAAAGTTTTGCAAATAATCCTGGAATTGAAAGAATTAAGCACTTAGGTCTCCACAGATATAGGGTATTAGGATCCACTAAACCTCTTGTATTTACCTCTAGGTCAATGGCTGTGGGTTGTGTACCTGTATAAAAACAGGTGGGGACCTGCTTTGGTGAAGAGAGTCTGAAACCAAAGAAGCTAAGCAATGAGACTGATTTCCTGGCTTGAGCATCTGTGGAGCAATCATGGTGCTGTGCATCTTCCCTGTATCTATAGAGTTTTTGAGCCATTTGACTGAGTGAATAGCATCAAGAGGAAGATTGTTTTGTTTGCAAAGTCTTTCAGGTAAGCCTTCTTTCTTGATTTGAGGTCAGAAGGGACATAAATAAAAAGGACTGGGTGTGAGTTTTGTCCAGCAGTGTTTGTTCTCTGGGAGCCAGTTCATCATAAGACTGTTATCCATGTTCATGAGAATATCGCCAGACTCGAGCATGGATGCACTTTGTACCATAACCTGAGTTCCATTCACTTCAGCTTTGATTGAAATCAAGGCAATGTTGATATTGTGGACAGTTTCCATATTACTCATTCCTTTGAAGGGAACTGTTGCAGGGGTTTTGTGAATGATCAGGGTGGCAGCTTTGAATTTATTGATATTGGTGTTTTTAGGAGATTTGGGAGTGGGCATAGGAGCCTGTTTGGGATAAGGGTTGGTCTAGACGTTTGGCTTGACAGGTAGTGGTTGATAGGGGGCCTGGGGACTGGGTGTCTGAGGGGCCTCACGTCTGGATTTTAAGGTGTGAGTTTCTTCGCGGAGCTCTTTGATCGTCTCGATGAAAATCGACATCATGTTGATCACGCTGTGAAGGAGGGCATCGTCTTGGCGTGAGTCTTTTTCCCATAAGAAGGTAAGATTGCTCATCATTCGATCAGTATCGTTTTGGGGACGGACAAGAGTCGACTTTTTCGCGGGGGGATCGTGCTGATTGTCTTCTGCCCGGTCCTGAGGACGTTTATAGAGCAATCTGAGGGGGTGGGGACATATCGAGGGGTTTTGATGATGCAAAGAGTTCTGATGATAATGAGCTTGCGAAAAATGAAAGTTGTGGTTTGTTGACCGTCCGTGAAATGAGAGTCAGCTGATCTGTATGAACTTCGTCATTATGGTACATGTAACATGTATCATGTATTGAATTTCTTTGATTACCATCAGGTTCTCTTCCAGCGGTTCTCTGTTTCTCTTTGAAGGAAACTAGAACACTTCAACTTCAACTTCGACACTCAACTTCAATCTCAACAAAACCAGTACATAGATCCAAACTCAGTCAGACTTCATACTCTACTCATCTTCTCAACTTATCATAGTCTTTCTAATCATCATCTCAGATCTTTGTCTTCTCCTATTCATATACGATGTCCGTTGCTTCGGCTGATGCAGGTTCGTATTCTCATCTTTCTATCTTCTCATAAGCTTTTCTTTCATTCGACTAATCATCATCTTGCTTGCCTCTAAATAGCTCTTCTTTCGGCTGCAAGAGCTTACGCATCTTTAAAGATGGAACAACAATCTTCTTCTTCCTCATACACTTTATCTCCCGGTTCTCCAATCTCAATCACTTCACCTAAACAGAAAGCTCCAATCCATTACACTCGAAGCCGTTTACTTGCACTCGCCAACAGTCCACTCTGTGTGAGGCCTGAGGCACTAAAACCTCTGATAGACTGGTTTGGGTATGTTTGCCCCTTATCCGATCACCTCACCTTCGATCACTCTTTTGTTCGGTTTCTACTCAAAACTTCATCTTCCTCCTATCTCAATTTTATGGTGACGCTAATCCTCCTGTCCTTCTTGTCCTTGACCAGTGAATTTGATCCTCCACCAAGCAAACCAAATCAATCTACTCCATCTCATAATCAATCTCTGCCATCTACTTTTCCACGTCCTCATTCATTACAATCACCTGAAGACGGTAATCATTCTTCAATCACCTCACCTCTCAATGTCTCCTTCTTACCTATGATGGGTCGTGGTCAGCCACCTGCGAGGAATCCTTTTGCCAATTTCGGTAAATTCGGATCCGAGGATAATGCAAATTCTGGCTCGCTGGGACTCAATCTCCATCAACCTACAAATCCTTCAAATAATGGTCCTAAACTCAATCGGCGAGGTATAGATCGGGACTCTGCTCCTCACCTAGGAAGACCCGACAATTCGAATGATGATAATCCCCGGCGAAGACTGGTGGATTCATACCCTGGTAACAACAATAACTCAAAGGATCGAGTTGTCAATCGTCTGCTTCCCGAAGATGGAAACACAAGCGAATCGAGGTCTTCTGCTCGGCGTACGATGGATCGATATGCCACCGATTCAAAACGAGACGGAGAACGAGATAAGGATCGCAACAATCGCACATCTCCCGTCAACAACCGAGATGAGGCTGATGAACATCAACAGCCACACTGGCGAAGACCTCTACCCAATGGTTCTCATGCCAACCATAAGAAGCTTCAATCCGATCATCATCATGGTACATCTACCAAGGAGCGTGACCATCGTGAAAACATTCGTGACTTCAATGAAAACAATCACACATATGGTAAAGAGCGCGACAAACACCTAGGCCCTTCTCCCACACCGGGCCGGTCGGTGAGCTATAACAGCAGTCGACCGCGCGATAAAGATAAACATGATGATTATAATCTTAATGAGTGGCCCGCATCGGCTCATGAAGAGAATGCCATGAATGATAACTTTGTGTCTTCGATGCCCCTGCAAGGCAAGCGTGTCAAAGATGGACTTTGGGACTCGGGTGAAGGCAAATGGGAAATGTCTCGACAAACCAATGATCGAAACCCTTCTGCAGGTCTTGGAGCTACAAGTGAAACAGATGCAATTCAAGCGTGGAAAGCTGAGATGAAAGCTATGGATGCCAAGAAGAAACAAGCTGCTGCTGCTGCTGCGAATCCTCCCCAAGCTAGTTCGGATCTATCTCCTGATTCGAAAAAGGCCAATGGATCAGATCATCGTCAGCCTTCTCGTAATTTTCCCGATGCACTGAACCTCAAGCTCGCTGACTCGGATCATGAAGAGAACGCGGTGGATAGTCAAATCTCGTTGATCGCCTCATCTGCTAAAACCCCACACTTTGCGTCACTACTCCAAAACAATAATGCAACTGCTGGACCGGCTGCGTCTGCGCCGGCCGATGACGACGTTGCCTCGCAACCTAGAGCCAGTCGGTTCGCAAAATTTTTTGACAACTCCACTCATCAAAGAGATGAAAATGAGCATGGACCAGGATTCGGAAACCCCCCACCCTCTGCTCCATCCCACTTCGATCTTACTCTTTCGCAGCACAATCCTCTCCATCTTCAACAATCTGACCATTCAGCAAGTCGATCTTCCCTGCCAAATGAAGACCAACGTAGCATTTTACATCGCAGTGCAAGTGCTGATCCTGAAAACATGGCAAGAGTGTTGAGTATGTTGCAAATGAGCTCTCAGGTGAGATTTCCAATGATTCTCATGAATTCGTGTCCTTATGCTGATTGCTTTTAAATCACCAGCAACCCCTCGAGCCTGCAACGCATCCTTCTTTACAGGATGGTCAGAGTTATCCGTATCAGCCCATGAAAAATGTAGCGGCAGCCGGTTCCGCCACGAGTAGCCAACCCCAACACCATATGATGGATTTGAATGCATATACCTCTCAACATCTACCATCATCCAAATTCAATTCACCTCCACCGATCACTTCTCCCACCGGTTTCAGTAGTGGACTTCAAAATGTGTATAATAAACAACAAGTACCTGAAGCTGAATTCAATCGTCGACCGATCAGTGTTGGCCATAATCATTCGATCGGAATCAATGCAAATAACAACTATATCTCTCAGCGCCCCTCTCAACTTCCATCACCTGTGAATCAAATGAGATCATTGGAGGAAATTTTATCGCATGATCATCAACTTCAACATCATCAACTTCAACCTTTCGGACCACCGCCACCTGCTTCTTTCACGAACCATCTACCAGGACAAGCATCAATGAATGCTCTAGTACAGCAGATGAATCTTAACAAGAACAAAATCGGAAGTAGTGGAATGGAACCACCGTTACAGATGTATCCGTTTCAACCAACTATGAATCTACCTCAACCCACTACTGTTAATGGAGACCGAAACAATCTTGAGAATCAAAAATTAGCATTCTTGGCACGACAACTTCAACAGCAACGATTATCACCAAATCATTCCATCAATCCACTTTCACCTACTACTCCTCATTTGATCAATCAACAAGGAGGTGTTCAACCCAGAATGGATCTACGCACGATCAATTCGAATTTCAACTCACAACTTGCTCAATATCCTGGACCACCACCACCTCATCTTGAGCACCAACGTAGATATTCAGGTGCATTACCCCCTTTACCACCACCACCACCACCCTTACCACCACATCATCTTTTTAATCATCCACCACCACCACCACCTTCTGCTATGTTTGGTCAAGGAGCCCATCATATCTTACCACCTGCACCCATACCACCATCATTTCAAAACCCTACAAGCAATAATCGAAATGGGTTGAATTTGAATCGATCACAATTTGTAGGCGTACAATCTACTGTACCACCACCCCAATCATTTGTAGGTAATTTTGGAAACTCTGGCGTAGGAGGAGTTGGAGGAGGAGGAGGTAGTCAAATGGATTTAATGAGTTTATTGAATGCAGGACAAAATCGTAGGATGGGAAATGGTGGTAATGGAGTTTAATCTATGGATGATTTGTAAGATGTGTTTGAAATGAATTTTGTGCTGTTTTATTTTTGATTTTTTTTTGATTTGATCAAGCGAAATATAGGAGTTGTCATTGTCATTGTGGTTTTGATTTGATTTGATTTGATTTGATTTTTTGTTTTTGTTTTTTGGTTCTTGAGAGAATTTGAAAGTCTTGGTTTGTTGAATTGAATGGGTTATGAGAAGACTCTTTTCTGGGTCATGGTGGTTGAAAGAAAGAAAGAAGGAAATTGCAAAGAATTTATTTGTTGTGTAATTATTGATTGATTGATTGATGATCACAATGAGGAATCAAAAGAAAATAGGTAAAGGTTTTCATGGTATTATTCAGTTGATTTTTTTCTGAAAGAAGGAAGTGAACTTGAAGGGAGAGAAAGTGAGGATTATGATTTCTTTGATTCATTTTTAAGATTAATTTGAGTGAAGAAGTGGAAAGTAGAAGGGCTGGGGTTTGGGTCAGTGAGTGTCATTAAGGGGAATGGGCTCACTGTTGACTTGACTCATTCAAATCAATGTTATTAACCCAAGCCATCCCAAGATAAAGCTGTGGAAGAATGACACAATTGGACATGTGCAAAAAAAGTTGAACAAAAAAAGCATACACATGTGTACTGATCATAATCTTTTCTCAGAGTGATTGGTGATTTGGTGATTTGATGTATTCTTCATACATATCAGAATAAAGGTGCATCCTTTTGGACTTTGAAATCACAAGGACTTCAAATCAAATGGACTTTCCAGATTAGTGGGGATCTAATATATTTGATCACTACCCTCATCCTCTATCTTGCCTTTGTTACATAAGTTACTGTTGGAATATCCAATTGACAAATGAAGAATCAGGTTACTTACATCATAGGTTGAAATCAGTGTGAAATAAAGGATGCTTTTCAAGACAAACTGTGGTGAAAGACTCACCAAAAATTTACCCTTGTGTCCCTAGAACATCCTAGGATCAGTTATCAAAGCCAGATACATTATACAGCTGTTGTAAGATCTACTGACAGATTTTTGAAAAGTTTTGTTGTGGCCAGATTTAACTTTTGAAGTCAAAAACTCAAAACTATATCACTTTCAGACTGAACTCTATTGTTCTGGTCAACAGTGGCTTGACTAAGCTAATTTAGCGCCTTAGCAACACGTAGCTTAGAGCACCCACTATGGTGGGCGTGATTTATTGTAGATTTAGCGTTCCTGAGTGCAAGATTTAATCATGCGCGTTTTACCTAAATTGGTAAACGCATGAAATCCACTACGGATTGATGTAACGAGTGATTTAGCTACGATGAATCACTGTGGATCAGGACGATCCACAGTGGTTTGATTTTGAAATATGATAACTTATCTTTTCATAAATCTCATCCAAAAAAACTCAATCAAATGCCTGCGCCGAATTCCTTGAAAAGACAAATCAACGGTCTTTTGAAGGCTTCAAAAGATGATGATGAACAACAAGAGTTTGACCAACTCATATTTGAAATTTTGTTTGATAAGCCTCGCACACCATCTCCACCTCCTCAGACTCGAATCCGAATAGATCGAGATCGAGAACGACGTGCTCAGCAACTCTACAAGGATTACTTCGCACCCAACGCTAGATACGAGTCCAAATTTGAACGTAGATTTCGAATGAGTAAAGAACTGTGTTTGAGAATCATCGAAGATTTACAACAATATGATAGATTCTGGGTTCAAAAGGCAGATGCCTGTGGTGTGATGGGACTCACAGTTTATCAAAAGGTAGTTTGTGCTCTGAAGCAGCTCACCTTGGGAATTCCAGCGGATGCGACCGATGACTATATCGGTATTGGGGAAACCACGGCAATATTAACTCTCAAGCTTTTCATGAAGCATATCAACAAAATCTACGGTGCGGATTACCTTTGACCACCCAATCCCGAAGAACTCGATCGGATTATGAAAGAGTATGAGTTACGTGGTCTTCCTGGCTCTAAGGGGAGTCTAGATGGTATGCATTGGGCTTAGAAGAACTGCCCACTTGGATGGAGTGGGCAGTTTGAAGGAAAAGAACATACCCCTACTGTTATACTCGAAGCAGTAGCCTCCCAAGATCTCACGATCTGGCACGCTTTCTTTGGAACTCCGGGTTCTTTGAATGATATCAATGTATTAAATCGATCATTTCTCTTTGCTGATTTTCTCAAAGGTATGTTCAATTTTGCTTTCTTTCAAGTTCATTATCTGAGGAATTTGTTTTCTAGGAAATGAAGATGAAATTCATTTCACCGTCAACGGAAAACTCTACAAACAAGCCTATTATCTAGGTGATGGGATCTATCCCGATTGGCCAACAATTGTGAAAGCGCCGCGAGATCGGCAATCACCAGCAGCCAGGCTTTTTGCTGAAGCTCAAGAAGCGGCTAGAAAAGATATAGAAAGAGCTTTCGGAGTTATACAAATTCGATTTGGAATAACTCATATGCCGTGTCGAATGTGGTACCTAGTAGATATGCACTCGGCTATGATGTGTTGTCTAGTCTTACACAATGTGATCATCCAAGATCGAGGATCACTTGATCCTATAATCGAAGCTTACACCTCTGAAACAAGAATTATTCCAAAACTACAAGATCCTGGAGTACAAAATACCCTCATGACGTACCTTCAAAACACCCTTATTTTAAGAAATTCGACTACTCATCAAGAGCTTCAGCGCGATCTCACGATGGACCTCTGGCTGAAGGAAGCAGGGCAATGATGGTCACTTTTTTAAAACCAACTTTTTATACTGATATTGCATTTGTTAAACTAATTTAAATATACATACACACAATTATATTGCTGGATGAGATTCATATCTACCGATTTAAATTTAAATACATAAGTTTTTTGCTTGATGATGGTTTAAGATTTGTATTGACATGACTGAGACTATGAAAGAGAAACTGAGCTCAATTTGAATGTGATTAACATCTGTAACTAATTGATGAGGCAATAGAAATCAGAATGTGACTATTGATATCTTTGAGCAACTTCTTCCTTCAAGCCTCGTAATATTCTCTTTGAAATCTTGTCAGGACAATCTTCTTCCTTCGCTCGAGCGATTTCAAGATCCTTACTTTTAAGTTTGCTTGTCATTAAGCTATTTGCGATTCTATCAGACTCTTCACTAGCATCTGCTCATCGGCTTGCAACTGCCGTAAATGAATTCATCGCTTCGATCCTTGCCATGTCATCACTAGCTGTTTTTCTTGAATCAACTCGCTGCTTCTTTGCAGCCTTTCCACCCATCGGACGTTCACCACTATCTTCAGGTCGAGCACGCGAGTTGGAGGAAGTTGAGGCTGAAGTTGATCCACCTTCAGTCGCATCTGCAGGTGGAAGGAGTTCTCAAGGGGGTGCTGGAGGAGGATGATTCCTTTGGTTGATAAGATGGACATCCCACTTGGGTTCATACCGAAGTTTCTGCCAAGCAGCGAGATGTTTGAAAGAAGTTTTCATCTCGGCTTGGTAGATCTTCATGGCATCAACTATCCAGGTGTCAGGAGAAGAGCCAGATGGGGGATCGTGTTCCAGACGAGCGTAGATTCCTGAAAACTTGAGAGTTGCTGGATTCAAAGTACGCCATCTGAAGGTAAATTAAGTTAGAATATTGAAATCTGTAATATACAAATAGAAGGTAAAGTTGTACTTACTGACCCTTGCACATCTTGCCTGAGCGGGTTGTGACCGAGTGAGAATTAAAATGAAGAGAAACATTGTCAAAAAAGGCATCACCACTCATGTTATTTGAGTATTCTGGCCGAGTACTAGTCACAACCCACGATCTCGCAAGCTGTTCAAGTTTGGGTTCAGTCCAGTTGTCCCCGCGTTTTGAACTGGCTGTTGAACGAGCAGGGGTTGAGGCTGGAGGAACTGACATCTTGATTTGATTCGACTTGAAGTGTGATGTTCCAAGTTGTGATGTCTCGAAGTTGAGATTTGATGAACTTTGAAATTTGAAGTTCGAACGTGAGGTTTTGAAGTTTGAAGTTTGGAGTTTGAGATGAAGTAGTATGTATGCAGTTTGAAGTTTTGAGAACAGTAGTTTTCCTACGATAAATCAAGTCGTAGCTGTTTGTAGATTTGAACATGGGGAAAGCAAGATTTGATGCAGTCGTAGGGACCGCAAGTCTAAAACAGGTCCATAGTGGACCTGTCTAGATTTTAGCACTAAACTTACGATAAATCACCGAGTTACCGCACCCATAGTGGGTGCTCTTAGCGCTTTTTGTGCGCTAAGTTAGCGCCTGAACCTTAGTGGCCCCAGCTAAGCTTCTTAGCTTAGGGCATCCCTGCCCCGCTCCGCTAAGCATTTTGAGCGGGTCCAGTCGGCTATTTTAGCGGCGTTAGCGGGAATTGATAGAGGACACCTTATGTACACGTCCCCACGCCTAGGATTTGTAATCATTGGGTTTGCAACAGGCCCCGGCCCTGCCGCTGCAGAACTTGAATGATTATGTAAACCACTTGGAGGGGACTGTACTTAAGGCACCCAGTATATGTAGTGAAGTCCAAGTGTCGGACCTTCACATTTGCCCCCTCTCTGTATTGGTAATGTATTTTGTTTTGAAACTTTGATCACAGCATTGTATCACTCACCACTCCTCTCTTTCAACTCACCATGAGTCACCAATCCGATATTGATAATCCAACTAGACTTCGATCTAGCCGCAATGTCACACCCACTGCTTCACACTACACAAAATGTCATCTTTACCGGGCGGTAAAGAAAACTACTGACATAGAAAAGTCCTGAGGCAACAGGAAGAGAGCTAAAACTCTGAAAAAATATGCACCTTGTTCCTAGATGTTGGGGCGTCATGACAAGTATTTTTTTGTATTTTACACACAGATATTGGTTAATGTACTAACAATAAAGGCTGAGAATCATCAAAAACCCACCTGTAACAATACCTGAAATTTGGCCCTTGACTTTGAAGACAGGATTTTGGAATCTTCAAACATCAATAACT